GATGGCTTCCTGGAAGTCCACAGGCACCTACGTTGACGAGGTTCCCCCGCCTGGGGCGAACATCGTCAGTGGCATGTGGATTTTCAGGGTGAAGCGGCCGCCGGGTTCTCCGCCTGTCTTCAAGGCGCGTTACGTGGCTCGTGGCTTCAGTCAGCGGCAGGGAGTTGACTACTTTCAGACCTTCTCTCCCACCCCGAAGATGACCACTCTTCGGGTACTGCTGCACATAGCTGCTCACCGCGACTACGAGCTGCACTCTCTTGACTTCAGCACTGCTTTCTTGCAGGGCAGCCTGCACGAGGAGATCTGGCTGCGTCGCCCACCTGGCTTCACTGGGTCTTTTCCTCCTGGCACCCAGTGGAGCCTCCGGCGGCCAGTCTACGGTCTCCGCCAGGCACCGCGTGAGTGGCACGACACACTGAGGACTACACTTGCGGCTCTTGGGTTTGCTCCCTCTACTGCCGACCCGTCGCTGTTTCTGCGCACCGACACTTCTTTCCCGCCGTTCTACATCCTCGTGTACGTCGACGACTTGGTCTTTGCCACAGCTGACACTGCTGGACTCGCCCACGTGAAGTCCGAGCTGCAGAAGAGACACACGTGCACAGACCTGGGTGAACTGCGCAGCTACCTTGGCTTGCAGATCACCCGGGACAGAGCACGCCGCACCATTACCCTGACTCAGTCACACATGGTGCAGCAGGTCCTTCAGCGCTTCGGCTTCACGTACTCCTCGCCTCAGGCCACTCCTCTGCCTACTCGCCACTCGCTCTCAGCTCTGCCTTCGGATGAGTCCGTAGAGTCGAGTGGCCCGTACCCAGAGCTTGTTGGCTGCCTCATGTACCTGATGACCTGCACACGACCTGACCTTGCATACTCTCTTAGCATTCTTGCACGCTATGTTGCTCCTGGGAGACACAGACCGGAGCACATGGCTGCAGCGAAGAGGGTGTTGCGCTACTTGTGCAGTACGTCGGGCATGGGGCTTGTGCTTGGAGGGCAGAGTCCAGTGGTCCTCACTGGGCACGCAGACGCTTCTTGGGCTGACGACCAGGCTACGCAGCGGTCGTCACAGGGTTACACCTTCAGCCTTGGTTCCGGCTCTGTTTCGTGGCGGGCTACCCGCTCGTCTTCTGTTCTCGGCTCCAGTTGTGAGGCTGAGATCTACGCCGGGGCCATGGCTGCACAGGAGCTTCGCTGGCTCACCTACCTGCTCACTGACCTCGGAGAGCCGCCTCGTTCTCCTCCAGTGCTGTACGTAGACAACAAGGCCATGCTGGCCTTGTGTCGAGAGCAGAGACTGGAGCACAGAACGAAGCACATTGCTCTCCGCTACTTCCTTGCTCGTGAGCTACAGCAGCGTGGTCAGCTGCGGCTTGCGTACGTGGCCTCTCAGGCCAACACTGCTGATATCTTCACCAAGGCACTTGCGCCTTGTGATCATCAGCGATTCTGTACTCAGCTGGGCCTTGTGCCTACCTTGCCTCACTTGCTCACCCCTTGACATTGTTTGTACTGTTGCATATATATATACTCCTGCTCTTGCTTGTCTAGCCTTATATTTATATATGTAATCCTGCATGTGAACTGGCCTTGTGGCCTTGAACCTGTGCTCAGAATGTGTGGTGACTTTGTGATCCACCCTGAGCTTGCTTTGCTTTGCTTGACTGGTCTTGTGACCCCTTGTTTTCCCCCACTTTGCCTATGGGGGTGTGTCAGATTTATATGACAGAGCTACTGTAGGCTATAGTGGGGTAGCACATATGGGGTACAGTTTTCTAGGGTTTGCATTTTGTACCCAACTTTCTCTTAGTCATTTCATTCCTCGTTTCTTCTCATAACATGGCTGACCCCCTCAGCAGACAACCGATAGGGGCAGCAAACGGGCTTGAGGACACCGAACATGCTGCCGTCTTTGCAGCTTACTTTGGTATCCTCGCTGTTGCTCGAGTCAGTGAGATTACCTTCAGTGGTTTTCTAAAACGAATCCGCATAGGCTATCAGATTGATTCCTGGTTTCAGAACCCACAGAATACGAAGGATCTCTCGTGGGAGCATGAGCTTTGGTGGCATGGAAAAGAAATTGTAGTACCACATGTGGGGAACCTACGGATTGACATCTTACAAGAAGTGCATGCCAGTAAATACAGTGGACACCTCGGAGTTAAGAAAACCCGATGGGCATTGTCTGACGTATACTGGTGGCCAGGGTTGGGCAATGAAGTCCAGCAGTTTGCTACACGCTGCGACACGTGTGCACGTAACAAACCGAGTACACAAAAACCCGGTGGGTTGCTTCAACCACTTGAAATCCCTGACGAACCTTGGGAGAGTGTATCGATGGATTTCATCACTGATCTCCCTAAAACACGAGATGGTCATACAGCGATCCTCGTCTTCGTGGATCGTTTGACCAAGATGGTGCACTTCGTGCCTACAACCACGGACGTATCAGCAGAAGATACGGCTAAGTTGTTTATTGCACATGTTATCCGTTTACATGGTTTGCCTCGTGTGCTCGTGTCTGACCGAGACCCTCGTTTTACAAGCAGTTTTTGGCAGGAGGTTATTCGGACACTAGGGACGAAGCTGAAAATGTCGTCTGCATTCCACCCTCAAACGGATGGGCAGACCGAACGTACAAATCGTACTCTTGAACAAATGCTTCGTTCGTTTATTGGCCCAACACAAGATGATTGGGATGAGCTGTTGCCAGTCGTGGAATTTGTTGTCAACAACTCAGTGCATGAAAGCACCCACGAAAAACCCTTCATCTTAAATTGCGGTCGGCATCCCACAACACCTGCTACACATGGGGTCAGTGGCTTGAAAATTCCAGCCGCTAAGGACTTTATTGGCAAGCAGCAAGAAGCGCTTAAGTCTGCTCGTCGTTGGTTGCAACTTGCCCAACAACGCCAAAAGTCTTATGCCGACATGAAACGCCGGGACATCTCTTTTCAAGAGGGAGACAAAGTTTTGTTGAGTACGAAAAACATTCGACTCAAATTACCTGGGGCGCGTAAGCTGTTTCCTCGTTGGATTGGGCCATTCGAGGTCATCAAGCGGGTTGGGGCGGTGGCTTATAAGCTTAAGCTACCAGACACCTTGCAGATTCACAATGTCTTCCACGTGTCTCTGTTAAACAAGTATGTAGCCGACGGCACATACTTACCACCACCAACCACCGTCCTAGGTGAGGAACTATATTATGAAGTCGAGCGTGTGCTGATGCACCGTGATCGACAACGCGGCCGTAAAACTAAACGTGAGTTCCTCATTAAGTGGAAAGGCTACGGGCCTGAACACAATTCTTGGGAGCCAGAAGAACACTTGACTGAAACAGCAGTTCAAGCTTACATGGAAGACTTGGCTCTCCGAGCAGCCCCACAGCCAGTGGATGGTGTTGACCCTGGCCGTAATGTGGTGTGTCGTGCTCGCAGCACTCGCCCCAAGAAGCACTCCAAGGCAACGGGGACGTTGCCAACTGGAGGGGGAGGAGTGTAACGCATCACCTACCTACCCTAGCAACTATCCTAGCTAAGGCTCTCTAAAGCGCTACCTACGCAAGGTAGCGACTTACGGGAAGAAAGGGTTGGAAGGGATGATTGTTGATTGGTCCACAAATTGTGAATCACCACCCACTAAAAGACAAACAAGGTTGGGAACCAACCCAACCTTCACATTGGTGGAAATTCAAACCAATAACATTTCAACGTTGCTGTTACAAGTTACAACAGATAACCAGACAATTCTTATCACAAATAAGTTGCTCTCATTGGTTGCAAATATAACCAACATGCCACCTAAGCAAACTCACCTTAAGGAGCTCCTTGCCCTTGTTGCCATGGAGGAGGTGGAGCTCCCCAAGGGGTATTGAGGAAGGGGTTTGGAGCTCCAGGGCCCATTCTCTCATTCCCAACTCCAATTGATCTATTTTGGAAATGGGATTTTCTCTCTAAGTACAAGGTTTCTCCCTCACAAGTGCTCTAGCCTTCAACTACTCTTTTGGTGAAACTACTCCATCACCCTCAGAGCTTCAACTATCAAGCTTTCAAGGCCCAAGGCTAGCTTAGAGTCTAGTTGATCTTGGATGCACTTGTTGTTGGCATTTTATAAGCCTACTATAGACCCTTTTGTGGGCATTGGCTATAAGCCCGGGTCTTTATTGTGATTTTAAGGGCGTTTTCTCTATAAGCCCGTGTTACACCTCCCCTCCCCTCGTCGCGCCTCCGCTCCTTACGTCGCCTCCCCTCGTCGCGTAGTAGCACTCCCATCCGATAATCGCTCTCCCATCCGCCCGTAGCTCTCCTTTCCGCCCGTCAGCGCGCCCAAGTCGCGAGCTTTTCCGTCCGCCCGTCGCTCGCCAATCCGCATGTAGCTCTCCATTCCGCCCATCGCTCTCCCTTCCGCCCATCGCTCTCCCTTCCGCCCATCGCTCTCCCTTCCGCCCTTCGCTGTACCTTCCGCCCGTCGCCCTCCCTACCGCCCGTCGTTCTCCCTTCAACCGTCCGTCGCCCTTCTTTCTTGTCGTCGTCCTCCCTTCCGCCCGTAACCCTCCCTTCTTCCCATCGCCCTCCCTTCTTCTCATCGCCCTCCCTTCTTCACATCGCCCTCCCTTCTTCTCATCGCCCCCCCTTCTTCTCATCGCCCCCCCTGCCGCTCGTCCCCTCGCTTTTCCCGTCAACCTGTCTCCTTGTCCGCCATCGCAATCTCCAGGGTTCCCCTCTCTCCTCGTCGCGCTCGCGTTCCCCGTCTCCTCGCTTTCCCCGTCTCCTCGTTTTCCCCGTCTCCTCGCGTTCCCCGTCTCCTCGTTTTCCCTGTCGCCATCCAATGCTCGTCGCCCTCGCCCGTCTCCCTTCCCATCTCGCACACTTGTCACCCTCCCATCTCTCCCCCCACTCACTCCCTTCCGTCCACCCTACAATCCCCTTCGATCCCCCCACTTACACCCCCCCCTGCAATGCTTCCCTCTCTCCCTATTCCCACCATTCTATGCCCAGCTCCCCACCATCCTCCGCCCTGCTCTCTCCCCGGCATCTGCCCCCGTTCTCCCCCATCAGACTTCCCTGTGTAAACGCGCCCCCCCTGGCCTGCTTCCCCCCATCCTCTGACAAGTCCCCCTTCTCTCTGTCCCCCTTCTCCCACTCCCTCGTCTCCCACTCCCCCTTCTCCCAGTCCCCCTTCTCCCTGTCCCCCTTCCCCCTGTCCCCCTTCTCACTGTCCCCTTCGTCTCTTTGTCCCCCGTCTCCCAGTCCCCCTTCTCTCTGTCCCCCTTCTCTCTTTCCCCCTTCTCCCACTCCCCCTGTCTCCCAGTCCCCCTTCTCCTTGTCCCCCTTCTCTTTGTCCCCCGTCTCCCAGTCCCCCTTCCCTCTGTCCCCCTTCTCCCACTCCCCTGTCTCCCACTCCCTCGTCCTCCCAGTCCCCCTTCTCTTTGTCCCCCGTCTCCCAGTCCCCCTTCTCTCTGTCCCCCTTCTCCCACTTCCCCTTCTCCCACTCCCCCTTCTCCCTTTCCTCTTTCTCCCTGTCCCCTTCTCCGTGTCCCCTTTCTCCCTGTCCCCTTTCTCCCAGTCCCCTTTCTCCATGTCCCCTTTCTCCGTGTCCCTAATTCCAGCCCCCATCCTACCTACACGTGCACCATATACCACCAGCCTGCACCACCCCTTTCCATCCTGCCAGTTAGTCTCACACAGCTGGGACACATTGCATGAGTGTTTTTTTTTACAACCATGGCGAAAACACTTCCCATTGTTGTATGCATGTAAACTTCTACCTCTCATTCCCCACTCCACTCCCTCTCCCATCCACCTGGCCCCACCCCTGCTCTTCCGCGCACAGGTATGGTGGATCGCGCATAGGGATAGTGGTCGGTGGAGTAAGACGTGGACAAGCACAGGGTGAAGGCAGGATGGGGCCGTGGCAAAGAATGGAGATGGGCAGAGCCAGCAGGATGCCGCGGCGGGTAGATGCGGTAGGGGGCACGCAGTCTAGCAGGAGTGCTGGCCTCATCTGGCTGTAGGGAGCGACTTGTTGGTTGTGCTTTGTAGTGCGCTGAAGGTGTCTAGGAATGTGGGAGATGTCGCCCTAGGTACCTGTAGCTGATGCCAGGGCTATCTGACTTGTTGGGGTGTATTTGTTGTACTCTGGGGGTTGTTGCTAACGGTTCAGAATATTCATAAGGCGGTCTATTGAGTAGCAATTCTGAAGTACCGCAAGCATTCTTCCACTCTTGAACATCAAGGGAGTTGGGGTAACAAAGGGGGAGGAAAGAAAGAGGAAAAAAAATCCCCTGCCTACTAAGAAACATGGGTGTGTTGATATGATCCCTACTAGTCACATGGAACAAAATCCTCCAAGGCCAACCATAGAATCCAACAAGTGGATTGGTAGTGGGGGGTCAACTAGATGTTGCCAATAAATGGGTTGCACTTGCCCAAAGCTACATGTGAGCTTCATGCGAAGCATATCTGAAGGCGGATTAGTCGGAAAAAGGGAAGGTTGGGCAGCTGAGAGGAGTGGTGAGGAGTGGCGGTGCAGCCCAGCCATGCCCCACCTCGCATACCCCAGCAAACTCCCATACCCCTGCCCCATGATCCGTCTTCAACTCCTTGCCTGCACAGTGTTGGCTGTCAGGCAGAGCAGCTTCCAAGTATGGGAGGAAGCAGGGAAGGGGATGGGAGGAAGCAGGGAAGGGCATGGGGGGAAGCAGGGAAGGGGATGGGAGGAAGCAGGGAAGGGGATGGGGAGAATCAGGGAAGGGGAGGGGGGGAAGCAGGGAAGGGGAGGGGGGGAAGCAGGGAAGGGGATTTGGGGAAGCAGGGAAGGGGATGGGTGGAAGCAGAGAAGGGGAGGGCGGGAAGCAGGGAAGGGGACATGGGGAAGAAGGGAAGGGGAGGGGGGGAAGCAGGGAAGGGGATGCGAGGAAGCAGGGAAGGGGATGGGTGGAAGCAGGGAAGGGGATGGGGGGAAGCAGGGAAGGGGATGGGAGGAAGCAGGGAAGGGGATGGGGAGAATCAGGGAAGGGGAGGGGGGGAAGCAGGGAAGGGGAGGGGGGGAAGCAGGGAAGGGGATTTGGGGAAGCAGGGAAGGGGATGGGTGGAAGCAGAGAAGGGGAGGGCGGGAAGCAGGGAAGGGGACATGGGGAAGAAGGGAAGGGGAGGGGGGGAAGCAGAGAAGGGGATGGGGGGAAGCAGGGAAGGGGATGGGGAAGCAGGGAAGGGGATGGGGGGAACCAGGGAAGGGGATGGGGGGAAACAGGGAAGGGGATGAGGGGAAGCTGGGAAGGGGATGGGGGTAAGCAGGGAAGGGGATGGGGGGAAGCAGGGAAGGGGATGGGTGGAAGCAGAGAAGGGGATGGGGGGAAGCAGAGAAGGGGAGGGGGGGAAGCAGGGAAGGGGAGGGGGGGAAGAAGGGAAGGGGACGGGGGGAAGCAGAGAAGGGGACGGGGGGAAGCAGGGAAGGGGATGGGGGGAAGCAGGGAAGGGGATGGGGGGAAGCAGGGAAGGGGAGGGGGGAAAGCAGGGAAGGGGATGGGGGGAAGCAGGGAAGGGGATGGGAGGAAGCAGGGAAGGGGAGGGGGGAAAGCAGGGAAGGGGATGGGAGGAAGCAGGGAAGGGGATGGGTGGAAGCAGGGAAGGGGATGGGTGGAAGCAGGGAAGGGGATGGGGGATGCAGGGAAGGGGATGGGGGAAAGCAGGGAAGGGGAGGGGGGGAAGCAGGGAAGGGGAGGGGGGGAAGCAGGGAAGGGGATGGGGGATGCAGGGAAGGGGATGGGGGAAAGCAGGGAAGGAGATGGGGGAAACCAGGGAAGGGGAGGGGGGGAAGCAGGGAAGGGGATGGGGGGAAGCAGGGAATGGGATGGGGGGATGCAGGGAAGGGGATGGGGGAAACCAGGGAAGGGGAGGGGGGGAAGCAGGGAAGGGGAGGGGGGGAAGCAGGGAAGGGGATGGGGGGAAGCAGGGAAGGGGATGGGGGGATGCAGGGAAGGGGATGGGGGAAACCAGGGAAGGGGAGGGGGGGAAGCAGGGAAGGGGATGGGGGGAAGCAGGGAAGGGGATGGGGGGAAGCAGGGAAGGGGATGGGTGGAAGCAGGGAAGGGGATGGGGGGAAGCAGGGAAGGGGATGGGGGGAAGTAGGGAAGGGGATGTGGGGAAGCAAGGAAGGGTGACAAGTGCGCGCGATGGGAAGGGAGACGGGAGGGATGGCGAGGGCGACGGGGAGAGAGGAAGACGGGGATTGCAAGGGGACGAGCGAGAGGAAGGGCGACGAGACGAAGGGAAGGCTACGGGCGGAAGGGAGAGCGGCGTGCGGAAGGGAGAGCGACGGGCGGAAGGGAGAGCGAAGGGCGGAAGGGTGGGCGACGCGCGACGGGCGGAAGGGAGGGCGACGGGCGGAAGGGAGGGTGACGGGAGCGACGATCGGATTGGAGGGCGACGCGTGGAAGGTAGAGCGACGAGCGGATGGGAGGGCGATAGGCGAAAGGTAGAGCGACGAGCAGGGCGACGCGCGGAAAAGAGGGCGACGAGCGGAAGGGAGGGCGGCGAATGGAAGGGAGCGAAGGTTGGAAGCGTGGGCGACGAACAGAACGGAGCGCGATCGTGGACGACGCGAGGAAACGAGTAGCGGGAGCCAAAGAACCGAAAGCGTCGCGGGCAAGCGAGGGTGAATGGGGGAACCTAAGCGACCAGCAACCTAGCTCTGGCCCTGTGGAATATAGTAGGAGCATCGTGCGCGTGTTGGTTCATGAGTTGTGTGCAAAAACGGAGTGATTTTTGGGCGTGAATCAGGGCTTAGGTTTGGATTTTGCCTACTCACGATTAGCAGTGTAGACATTTTGAAAACCCTTCTGAGCAATGTGCCCTTTTTGGAAACACTGATGGATCAGTGTAACTTTAAGTTTTTAAAACTTTACCCAGAGGCATCAGTGTAGGTATATTTTTTACCCTGATTGTATTTAAGCAGCTGATTGTATGTGCTGGCAGCAACCAAGCTCAATTGTGCAAGTTGGGCGCTGGTGGGTGGGAGTTGTGATGTGAACTCAAAAGTCGAGCGCAGTGGCTTGTCTGGTTTCGCTGCAACACTTGTATTTTTCGCCGAGTCAGCAAGCTTCCCGGGTGTGCTTGGTGGGGACCCTCGAGTCCCAAATTTCCGAGTCGAGAAAGTTGAAGTTCTTGCAGTGAGTGCAGCTTTCACCAATCAGGTTGCATCGCCTCTACAGTAACGGGTAGTTGCAAGCAGACACGGAGTGACGCGGTGTCGGTTGTCAGTACTCACGTGTGCTGGCGGGGGGGGGGGGGGGCACCTGTACGCTCTTCAGGGTAATCTTCGCTAAGGGAAAAATTACCCCAGAGCATCAGTGTGGCCTTAATCATTACACTTACATATCAGTGTAACACTAATCCCCCCAAAAAAAACCCAAACCCATCAGTGCAGGCCCTAAATTTCACCCTTCTAATCAGTATAGCAGTGTAAATTACACTGATAACGAGAGCCCTGGCGTGAATGACGGGTGAACTATGTCTAGTATGCTTGACAATTAGGGCAGGTCCAGCGCGTACGTTTACAGGTATTATACAGTTCATTCGGCGTGGTTTGAAAGGATAGCAGGCGGTGCACAGCGGTTCTGGAATTGCACCGTTTTGTACCTTTGACGCAATACAGATTACCGCACTAGATGAACTGTAATGTACGGAAAACGTACGCGCTGGACCCGCCCTTAGTACAAGATGGTTTTCAAGTTCACTTCAAGTGAACAGTGCTACCTTGCCAGCTGACCCTCTGCTCTATATGACTTTGAGTGTCGCTCGCCAATCACAGATCACTATCGTGAGAGAATGCTCCACTTCGGGTGGTAACATGGTTCTTGGCGAATTCATATTCAGGCATCTTGAACTTGAAAATAGCCATGTGGAACTCGGGCTTTAATAGTGGAACTTTAGTGTACTTCGAGGCTGTCCTCCTGAGCAGCCCGATGCTCCGATCCTTGTCGTAAGGAAAGATGATTTTCAATCATAATTCATCCTGGTGTATCTAACGACGTGTTGCGACCCATATGGGTTGGGTCGACCGGCCCCCGATCCCTCATTTCTAGGAAGGCTACGTCGCGGGTCTAGCCGACCAGGTCGACCCGACCGGGTCGGATCGGGTCTGCCAGAGCCTACGAAATTTACAGCTCTCGCGTAGCAATCGCCCTGATTTCGCCGCCCGAGAAGATACCAGGTAAACTCGCGCAAATCTTGCCGTAGCTCGCCACAGGTCGCCCAGGCCACCATCCCCTCGCGCGGCAACTGCTTCACATTACCCTCGAAGATGTTAGGAAAAAGCTGAGAAAATTTCGAACTTCCCGAATCGCGTTTCCGAGGATTTGGTCGGGCTGGGTCTGGTCGACCAGGTCGACCCGACCAGACCCAATCCGTGTGGGTCGCAACACGTAATCTCTTTCAGCTTGAAACATTCCAACTTCAAAAGAATGTCTTTGGGTTAGTGGGGTTGTTCGGTCTGCCCCAACAACCAACCACCGGAACATGAAGAGCTAGCCAATCAGGCGATGGCGCCTTGTGAGGGTGAAAGCAGTCGTGCTATTCGATACCGACATCTTCAACGGGGTGCTTAGTTTCATCGCTTGTTTTTGTTATTGCAAGGTTGAGTGGCAAAGGAAGACTTCACGCATATCGTTCTACGCAGCTTATAGTATACCTTGGCAAGCGTAGCATTACGTCAGTCCTTGTTCATAAGTGTTCCACATTTAATCTAAAATCTCAACAAGTACTTAATCCTTACATAGTCAAAGTCCGAATTTCGGATGCCCAATATGGATCCCATCCCATCACCCATTGCATAAAGTCGGATGATGTCAATGCCGACAAGCCATCAATTATGGGGCCTACTGTGGGCCATTGCAGGAGAGTTTTTATCAATATTAGCACATGATATCGTACTGCCTGTTACCAGTCCGAACTTCCTGCTCCTACTGCTGGCAGTCACATACCGTACGATTCAGAGTGCCTATTCTCGTCTACT